AGTTATACTTACTAAATTATAATTTATACACTTCCAATTTAGTAATTTGTCGACATCATCCTGCATTTAAGACGGATAGATAAGTGAATATAACAAACCTCAGAGGAATTGAAACTCGGCTCTCATATTACCAATTCCAAGCCATTATTAATTACATCACCAAGCATGCAAAACCTGCCATTCACAAGTGGTCACCCATCTAGGTGCTGATCAGTTTCGGCTTTGCTTAACTTCGGTGATCTCTTCAATTTGGAACTCGGCTCTCAGATTACCAATTCCTAGCCATTATCCATTACATCACTCCCACGTCCAAGCATGCAACACCTGGTATTCACAAGCGGTCATCCATTTAGGGTTTGACCAGACTCGACATTTTTTACCTTCGGTCATCGTAAAAAAATATTACCAGCAATGAATTTTGAAAAAAACAAAATATTACCAGCAATGCATTTTGAAAAAAAAAAATATTACCAGCAATACATTTCGAAAAAAAAAAAAAAAATATTACCAGCAATGCATTTTGAAAAAAAAATATTACCAGCAATACATTTTGAAAAAAAAATATTACCAGCAATACATTTTTAAAAAAAAATATTACCAGCAATGCATTTTGAAAAAACAAAATATTACCAGCAATGCATTTTTGGAAAAAAAATATTACCTGCTATAAAAATCTTGTTAGCATTAAATAACTAATTGGGGTTGATATACCGTAAAACAAACCAAAACAAACCAAACTAAAGATAATCATCCTGTGGTGTCAATATATCGTATTTTATTTTTGTCTCAATGAAAGATACAAAGAATGAATTGTGTGGTGTGTGATAGTACTTTTGCGGTGAGGCGGTCGACCTTCTTTTTTTTACTCAGGAGAATTAGGATGCAAAACTATATTGGCCCATAGCCTTCATTAAACATGTCTTACATTTAGTATATAAGAAAACTCGCCGCTAGATTTCATAAGTAGTTTGTCGGAGTTAGCCCCTCCTTAATTGTCCAAATTGTTCATTAGGGGACACTCTTCCCACTCTATAAATACTGGGCGACTTCGTGGCTCGTTCTCGTTTTCTTTTCTGCATTTCAGCGAACACATCTCCAGTGTAAGCTGTCACAGAAGATTGCGTCTTCCCATTTGTAGAAGACGCCGTGAACATTATAAACACATATACGTACGTACGAACATTCACCAAAATACAAACTCTTTACGTTCACACACAAACACAAATGTTAATGTCTATGTCCATTGTAAATTTTGTTGTTTAATATATATATATATATATATTTGTTGACATATATATATCGGTCTTGTTTGTTTTCTTTACATCTTCGGTTGGACTCAACTTGAGTCCGCCATGTTCTTGCAGTTGGACCTTTTTCTTGCAGGAAATAAACGTACGTGTTCCTAATTGAACAACACGTAAACCCACAGCCCTCTACAAGTTCATAAACATTCAAAATTACAGCTTTTTCATCTCTTTAAATGAAAACAAGAGATTGAAAAAAAATTTTAAAAAAAGGGGTTAAACTATCGTGCAACTTGTGCTAACGCGAGAAAGAATGAGATCAATCGAGAACTGGTTATTCTCATTATAAAATCATTTCTTTTATTGTTGTTCTTGTTGTTCGCATTAAAGAGTTCGTCTTGTCATATCACTTTTCTTTTCTTTTCTTTTTTTTAAGTCACTTTGAATTGATTTCTAGTATTGAAAATACTTCACGTGTGAACTTCAGAAAATAATACTAACGGGCAAA